AACAATTATACGATAAAAATATACTCATAATATTGGTCCATAAATGAATCCCAAAAATTACCATTCATTATTCTCATCAAGATACAACACAACTTTACTTTAATTGTTACCTTTAATTTAAATTAAATATTACACTGATGGATTAAATCTAACCAATTCATTGTTCAGTTTGATAAATGACATATCTTATTAACTTCAATAACATATTATTGAATACATTCAAGCATATATTACAATATAATCTTTATCTTAAATCTATACTAAGATTTATGGCATTAAATTGTCTAGAATATTTATCTTTTTTTAACATTATGAAAACAAATTAGTAATTATGTAGAAGTGTATTTTATCCTTCAATGAATATAAAAATAAATTTTTTTTGAAAATAACAGGTAACTAATTCCAATATTGATATATCTGTCATATATGAACACAAAAATAACAATAGAGAAAGTACTAAAACTTCTACCCTTTTTTTTCTTGTTAAAAAGAGGTAGAATTTGAATATGAAATATGATCAACTGATATTATTTCTCTAGTTGTTACCTTTAAATCTTTCTTTCTACGAACTAATTCTTTTTTTCCTGTACTGTTAGTGTTCGTGTGACTATCATAACCAATGGTTAGAGACTCTATGTGACATGGCTCAGAATCGATCACAATAGCGTAGGTATATACACTCTTTGTCTTCCCTTAAACTATGAGATTAAAATCACTTCATATCTTTCTTTCTACGAACCAATTCTTTCTTCCTGTACTATATCCTTATATGCAATCTTCTTTTTATATATTACCACCTCTGAATTAACTACTTTTATTAATCCGATGCTCGTCTTGCTGTGTTAATGAGGTATGGTAACTTGGACCAACGCATATATGTGCCTGATTTTACGTTGTAGCTGACTGACCTCTTTTATTGTGCATTTCTTAGCGCAATTTTTTTCCAAAACAAAATAGATGTAAGTTTCTTTTTTATTTAGACTGACAAAGAATATTAAAGATCCCAGTAAATAGTATTAATTTAATTTGGAAATATTCACATATGATATAATGATTGTATTGAGACAGCCTATTGTAGTTTACTGGTTAAATATTATCTGAATTAAGAGTATGTAAAGAGAAAATATCAATCAGTCATAAACAGTATAAGCGTTTTCAGAAATGTGTCTTAGTAAGAACTGTTGCATTTCAAATGAGGATACTTAAAGAGGGAATTGTTTAGATAAAATAGAAATGAGTAAGAATAGTATTTTCAACGGTAACCAAGAATTAATTATAGAAAATACAGTTCGAAATAAAAATTGAGATAAAATAATGTTCAAATTCAGGGTAAAACAGTAGATAAAAACAACCATATAGCTGTACCATTGTGGCCTGTTTCGAATCATAGCTTTTTAAGTCTGTGGTTATAGATTATGGTTATCCATTTTATTCCAATCGAGTATTACGTACCTCTTGATATAATTTAGTACAGCGATTATTCACTTCATTTACTCGTTTTCATCGGCTCCTATACCAACATACTTTGTGGTTTGTAGTAGAAAGTGACTGATAAAATGTAGTACATACATAATTAACCTTAGCTGACGAAAGTACATAGCCCCATCAACCGTTTTATCATCTTTAAATATTAACCTTTATCTAACCTCACCATTACTTTCTGATGATTTTATTATATTTGTAGTAGTTCTAAGGGATATATAATATAATAATACAGCTTCAAAGTAAGTATTCATGGATTTATCTCTAAATGGATGGTCATAAATTCATATCTCAAAGATATTTTCACTTAACTATGAATGAATGAATTAGCAGTTAACTATTCTATAGGTACAATACTGGTGTTAATCATACGTGCTTTTCACTAGGATGCCTTAAAATGCTTCTGTAAAAATATTTAAATAGGTTAGTAAAGCTTTTCCAATCTTTGAGTTTATTTTATGAGAATACGATTATATGATAATTAATGATTAACATCAGTATGATAGCAGCTAAAAATCCTCAATAATTGAGACCGGAGGAACATTTTATATTAAGGAAATAAAAGCTTTAAATATAATGATTTTTTATACTGAAAAAATGAACGTGGATGCCATCTTCGTGGTCTACAGTTTAAACATTAGTGAAAGATACCGAAGGTCTTCAGTTTAATTATCGGATGAGGGTTCGTGGGTGTGTATTGCTGAAAAGTCTCGTACTAGGACGAAACGGCTGTCTAGTGCTTGTAGGTTTTAATTGGTGATCTAGCTTAGATGTGTTCTTGGTTTAGACTGTGAAAATTTACTATTCCCATAAAATTCCCCCTAATAATTTATTTTTCAAGTAGCATTATGTTAAATTCATTAGATAATCATCTTTTTAAATTACTGATATATTAGTGTGGTGATCAATAACATTATGATAACAAAAATATAGCACACTAATCAGTCAGTTATAATCAATCGGTGAGTTACTGTTTAATTTTCAGTTTTATCTATTTCATAGATCTTGGTTTATCATTGAAAAACCTGATCACAGAAACTATTTTAAACATGTATAACAGCCAATAAAACACATAAGAAAACGAAATTTTTAAATTAATAGATTTTTTTCATATCAAATGAAAGTCCCTAAAGAAATTTACTTTCATGTAAATAATGGTACTTATATTTGTTGCGTACAAATAACCATGAAATCATAAATTATTCTTTTGACTTATTGTTTAATTATGCCTCAGTCAAATCGTCATTGTAATAAAGATATATTTGAGGCATAAATAGATCTTCAATATCTTGTATTTCTTCCCTAATATTATTCTCCTCAAGATTTTTCTCCATATCTAGTACAACACCATTATACTTCCATGTATACGAGGCAGCGTGTGAATTAAATTTTAAATAACGAACAAGAATATCTGTAATAGTTTCCTCAACGCATACCTAATCGACAAAATAAAAAGAAATAATACATTTGAAATAAGAAAATGTACAGATTTTTAGAAAAATACATTTCCCAATCTCCCATTTTTAAAGCATTGTCATAACAGAAGGTCTATGGAGTAGCAAAAATAAGATGTTCTTTGAGGTAAACAGCTTGATTAACAAAATTTTATCGTTTAGTTAGAAAAACAAAAATAGTTTAACATTTTACATTGTAAGTAAAGTCGACGAATATTTTAAACGTAACATGACCCAACCAACAGGTCGTTATATTTTTATTGTAAACAAATTCTAATTTTATCACCAAAGAGATAATTTACAGAGTCAGTCAGTCAGTCAGCTACAACGTAGGACCAGGCACATATGTGCATCGGTCCAGGTTGCCATACCTCATTAGTACAGCAAGATGAACAGCGGATTCATAGGAGTGGTTAGGTCAAAGGTGGTAATATATAGGAGAAAGATTGCAATAAGGATATAGTATAGGAAGAAAGAATTAGTTCGTAGACAGAAAGATATTAAGCGATTTTAATCTCTTAGTTTAAGGGAAGACAGGGAGTGTATACACCGACGCCATTGTGATCGATTCTGAGCCATGTCACCAAGAGTCTCCAACCATTCGTTACGAAAGTCACGCGGACCCCAACCAAGTAGTCTGCATCTACCAACATGGCTCAGACTAGAAGTTAGTGACTTCAGGCACTGATGCCACGTTTTGGTTTGGCCGCCCCTAACTTTCTTCCAACCATCCCCTACACTGATTAGCATTGCACGTCGTGGTAATCGGTGTTCAGGCATACGTAATACGTGGCCCAACCATATCAGTCGATGAAGATTCATAACCTCATCAACTGATTTACCATCATTCCCTAATACCCTGCGTCTAACTTCACTATTACTTACCCGGTGATCCCAGCAGATGCCAGCAATATTTCTAAAGCATCTGTGGTCAAATACTAGTAGCTTACGGGTGTCTTCTACTCTTAAGGGCCATGTCTCGCTGCTGTAAATTAAAACAGAACGAACTGCCGTGCAGTATGTTTTAAACGGACGCTAACAATTGGATTCAGGACCTATGTTTAATCCTATTTGGAACTAATCAGACTGATGTACCTAAATCTCAGTGTTAATTTTCGCAGTAAGAATTGAATCTAGTACCTGTTACCTCAAATGCTAAAACATTATGAACTAAGCTTTGGATTCGCAAGCCAAATTATTTAATAGATATTGTTAATGCTCGCATTGTGACTTAGAAGCGGGAACAGTGGTATGTATAAAACTGAGAGTCGCTGTGGTTTAATGCAACGGAGACCAACACTATTGGCAGATGAAGATTTTTCTAATCATCCAATACCGAAAGTATTCCTCCTTCATGAGAACAAAATACACTCTCTTACATGCAGGTTTACCTGCATTAGTTATCAATTGACGAAAGTTGTAGTGAGTTGAAACAACAAATTTTACACTGAATTGATACAAATGATATGTTTTATTGAACAGATAGGACGAAATGTTGTACTGAAATAATAAAAAATGAAATGTTATATAAATAGATGTTATAGCGGTACGTTAAATTATTTACACTGCCTCACGTATGACCCCTTCTCAATAGGTATTATCTTTTTAAAATTAAATGGTTCCTACGTTTTCGGTTTCGCCTCACTGGACAAAACTTCACAACGTATGACTTAACTGAATGGACGTCTACATAATACCTTTGTTCTTTTGACTAATTATATTTTGAATAGCAATTAGCGGCGGAATTAGAACCATCGGTCATAAAACCGATCATAAATACTAACGTTGAAACAATAAAAAACCCTGTTTATTAAGATATCGTACCAGATGAAAATCTTGGTGTTTATCACGCCCAACAGCCTATTGGATGATTCTATAGGGTTCAAGACAATAATTATCGATTTTGAATAAACTCGGTTTCCACTTTTGTTTGTCTCTCCAGTGGACATCGATTTTACATCTGAAATATTTTAGAATGTGAATCAAACGATATTTTGAATCTATTTTCTTCTTAAAAAACCAGAATTTATCAAGCAGTGATTGACGTTTGTGTATCCCGTGAAGAAAAGTAGTTATCCTACTTTTAATTTTTGACGATGCTATACTTTTATTTTTACACAAAAACAAATATCCAGAGGAGTTTAATGAACTAACTATCTTCTTGTATTATTGTGTTTGATAAGTCACTGAATTCGGCGCTAGAGGTATTTCACATTTGATCAAATGGCAGAGATAGTAATATATTTTTGACTAACGGCACAATTATAATAGTTTACAAAAAAGAAAACAAACCTCAATTTCGTGTTCAAGTAGCGCAAGTGTGTTGAAAATACGTACAAACCTTGTCTTCTTAGTTAAATATCCAACAATCAGTCTCTCATCTTTCCACCAAGGTATACCGAAATCTGTAGCCCAATCTGTCGTTGGATAAGGTGGTGGTATGTGAACAAATCGACCAAACGGGGTGTAAGGTACGTAACAGTTCGTAACTGGATCAATGTGATGTCGAACGTCACCAGTTTTTGCATCAAACCAGTGCGATATGTCTCTACCAGCTTCGTTTAAGATTGGCTGGAGAAGTATGCTACCTAAAATGAATACAATAAATTGAGTTTCAAATCGATCGAGACTAGTCAGCATGAATAGCTTCAATAACATTTGACAGTACTTCCACTCTACCCAACCTTTTAATTCGTGTGATTTCATGAGACGCATTAAAACACCATCCAGGTAGTCACTTAAAAACACGTCACAATCACAAAAATATTGAGATTCAGTCTGTTGATTGTCTTTAAATGCACATGTAATTCAGTATAATCGTTTTTTTATAATTTTTTTTCAGTATTCGTTTCACTGCAACTGGGTTTCGCCCAATATTTGTCAGTCATTCTTGGATGACGATCGAAAATTGCTAGAAAACTGTATTCTTAGGACAGAAAATAGCTTTCAGCTTGATCAAATCCGGCCTCACTTAAAATTAATCTAGGACTGTTTGTGTATTCATTTTTACCAAAGCAAACCAAAAAGAGGAAATAAAGACGAATGTAAGGTAAATAAACAAATATTCCCAAGGAAAATAAGGAGTAACGCGTCAAAAAGTCCGATCCCTTGCCCGCCGAGGGCAAATAGTCGGATATACCTCCTTTCTGCCACTATACGTTTGAAATGACTGGATTTACATCGGTGTCTAATTTTCGCACAAATGTACACCGGATTGTCTACTTTTCTAGACATAACTGGACTGTATTCCACACTTAGTTATAACTAGTGGATGCCCCATAGCGCAGCAGTAACTTTATAAATCAGTTAGATTCACATTTATTCCTCAGACTGTTGTGATAAATAATGAACCCACCAACCATTCTGAAGTAATTAAGTGAAGCTTCATTCAATTCTATTATTGATCGTCAAATTTATAACGTCACTTATCATCATTAGTTGCAAACAATTCAAAAAGAAATTCATCTGTTTTTCATGAGAAATACCAATAAGACAAAGAATATATCACGAACAAGTGTCAGGCACATTTCAGTCATTTTGAGGAAAAGCTTAAATTCTTTGGGTCAGATATTGCAGAACACAAGATTGTGTTGAATATTCTGAGTATCTATTATCATTGTGAAGGCTAAAATAACTATCAAACCGGAAAATATATGTTATAACTGTTCCCAGAAAAGACGAATGTAATTCGGATTATATTAATATAATATTAATATATATATTCATCAATTAATTGCTGAATATATACGCGATTTAACTATAATCGATACAGTCAACAATATTCACCCTTGTTCTGTGCGCATATTGGTGTGAGATCCCAAACATGTCCAAGAAACGAGACCCAACAGTCTTCGGGTGAATTATGTGCTAAAACCTCATTTGGTGTAAAGTAGCGACTTTTCATTTCCCGCTCTCAATATTTCCATAGCTATATATATTTACTCCATTTAGAGTAACACTACTTGACATACTATTCTCAGTCGCAAATATTTGCAATAATCAATCATTGTCCAGCACAATTATCTCATGAAATGACTTCACAACTCCTATTTCAAGGTATACAACATAACTTACATATGAATAGCGGAAAGCTCAGTTGTAGTTAATTAGAAGCAAACAAAGGCAGATAAAAATTTTAATGCTTTGAACTAAAATATATTTACATAGTGGCAGACAGTGTCTCACTCCGCTGGATGTCTTCATTTGCAAAGGCTTGATTTTACATAAGATATACTGGTAACGTCAGAATTGGACAATACTGGTTAAGAGTAACTTTCAGCACTTCCACCTGAGGATGTGGAATAAGATACTAACATTTCTGAGTTAAGGTACGTTCGACTTTTGCATGTCGCTGATGAACATATAATTTATAAGCTGGTCATCAGGCAGAGGAGAAGCTTATGACGTCATGGATGTACCGTGATCTGATAATGCTTGGTGGTGTCCTTTAGAATAATTTTTGTTTATCTCGCCGCTTAATGTATACAGGACCATGTATTTTATGGAGATATTTACTACTACGTGCTAGGTTTTGTACTTTTCCAGTTTTATGTTGTCTGCTGTCCACTCAGGTTTACTTTCACTTTGTTATGAGTTGTCATTTTTAACTTAGTTCATCTTAGTTCGGTAATATATGTCAATATTATTGGGCATTTGCATCGTTTGATTACCTTAATGACAATAAAGGACGGGAATGGTGCGGGTACTCAGCTCACGTTAGAATCTAACATAATCATCGATGCGTAATCTGGCTTTTCATTTCGTGATTAGCAGGTAAGGCAATTACTTTGATGATTAACTATGACTAGAAGAATAATGCGAAATTTATATTGATGATGTCACAGGTATTCAGTGTTTGACAACGCTTCTACCAGTAACACCTTCCAATATATTTCGTTCCCACCCAGAGAAATCAAAAGACAGAGTCGAGGAGATCGGAAGAGTATATTTGGCGATGACCAATATATCGGAATTCTCTAATCTAATCTGGCTAGCGATTGCGGTTGATGTTGAGCACGGCGTTACTACACGTGATCTGGTGCGGATGCCTGACCGAGCGCCTTCAGCTAGGTGAGTCTACTAAAACATATGGTCAGCATCCAATGTCGAAAACTTAGAGCTATTTATTTTGATGATTTATTTAGTGCTACAATATATTAAGGAACACCTCAGAAATACAGAGTAGAACAACTGCAGCTTGGGCCAACTTATGGCTTTCTACACAATAGTCCGTGTTCATTATTCTTGATCATGACGAGGTTCGATAAAATGTTCAACTCTTAGCCGCCTAGGGTAGAGACGATTCTGGTCGGTGTACATTTCGTCTGAGGCTTAAGATGTTTCACTGAACCTATATCATCCCATTTACGCGTAGTGAAAAACTTGAACTATGGATTTGGCAGTGGCAAAAACGTGAAACATGAAGAGATGGACTGACCTTTGTGGTAATAACGTGCTGTGGCTTCTTTAACGAATGTTTAGAATAAACGTGACAGTTCTAAAGAAATGCGTTAGTTAAAACAGGTTAAAGAAATATGGAGTGCAAGCTGACGAGGGCCAGTCCATGACGTTCAATGGATTAATTAACCTCAGTCATCTCTAATCTTTACGATTTCACGGTGGTCATTGATCTGTTGTGCAAGGTAGGATCGGTTCGGCTTGACGATTGATTATGTTAGGGCTCAGTAGCGTTTCACTGAACCAACATGTACGTTTGATTCGACACCGAATTCGCTGGAAGTAGTCGCATCAGGAAGGTCACTAGCAGATCTATGCGAATCCTCCACGCAGAGAAATTTGAGTGATAAGTTTAACGGAAGCCTCATCAACTGAAAACAACGATTAATGACAGACTTAAGAGATATGAATTTATCAACATGCTTATAAATGGCCCGTGTCTCAGTAAATCCGCTCCGTGTTTTTCTAATCTGTCTTTACCAATGTATGTTATTGCCCTAATAAGATTTTTTATTACAATCAGTCACTAAAGCGGCCGGTTCATCTGGTTATCATGACAGGATAGTCCAAGTTATGTGATGGTCATCATGTGTGAATCCATCGTAAGGTAAGTGATAACGACATTCCCCTCTAACTTGAGTAAACGACCCATTTAACCGTTTTGGGATTCTCGAATAAATAAACTTTCAGGACAATAGTTCAGTTAAAAACTGCATATCCGTTGCGGCCTAACTGTCTGATCTCAATGTTGATTAACATATAAACTTAGATAAATACTTCAACCAACTTACATAGGCAGTTAACTATGATTATAATCAAGCCATCATAGTCATTAACAAACACATATATATGAAAGTAGCTCTGGAGAGCTTCATTATACATGGAATGATTTTTCTACTGTTTGTGATGCCTGATAACATTTAGTAACTACTTTCAGTTTGACCTGTATAAATCTGACCATTAGGGGTGAGCTATGGTTAGAATAACGCATACTTAAATAACCCATAAGGCGGCATACTACGAATGAGCAACCTGCATATACATGGCTTAATTCAACCGTAGGCCACAAGTAGAAATTCATCGCATAACTGTTCGCAATGTTTTGCACAATGTCGTTGCTAAGCATTCGACGACATTCTTCTGTAAAACGGCTACGCTCTTTGCACCTGTCAAAATCTGGTCACCCAGGTAATAATAATGTTTAATGATGTTTTCCACCTATTGTTTTTCTCGTGCATCAACTGACGACTTGACTTGCCACACGTATGTCAAGCTTATTTAGTTCTAGATTTATTCGTATTCAATGCAGGTTTGACAATTATGCACACAGTTCCTGGAATTTTCTATCATCTACACCAGAGCTTTCATTGTTTTATATGATTAAATTTATTGTTGTGACTAATTCTTGAGGCATTTAACTCTCTATGATCTATCATCATAAATAATTCCCGTTTTTCACCGATCGCAGTGGTGGACAAGCTCCAAAAATATATAATTCTGTTAGTCTTCTACATTGTTGCAGACCACATTTTTTTACTGGACACTCCATGACAGTGAGCTATTGGTCAAGGATCTGGACCAGATCCCTCGCAAATGCTATTCAACTTAGACGACACACCTTTCAAAATACTGACTAGCTTCCAAAAGTCATTGGCAACTTGCTTGAATATCCGAGATATTTGTTTCTACCACCTCGATATTTCCAAAGGTTATGTTTTTGTTCGTTTTAACACATCATTATGGCTAATAATCGCATAATCTATTCAGGAGCGGTTATGAAAAGGATACGACTTTTTGATGTACGAGTTACAAAGAAGTACAATCAGAAACATTGTGGTGTCTGGCAATCTGAATTGAAAGAATGAACATTATTCAGATGTGGATTCCTGGACTGGTAATACATAACTGACGATCACTCATTATTTATTGTCAGGATCAGTCAGGAAACAAGAAAAGAAAGCTTTTTGGAATACTTTGTGCTAATATTTCTATATTACAGTAAAAATATAATATTGAATAAGCCGTTAATCATAATAATCACAATGATGTGCCTTCTAACCCTTTCATTTCTGACTTCTACTATGACTGGGTTTGAGATCCTAAATTATATAGTTGAAACGGATAAGATGCATATCAAGACCTGAATTTCCGTGATATAATTACGACATTCCAAGCATTGTAAGCGTTAGGAATTGTTGGAAATTCATTAAGCAGCAGTTACATGTTAGTTAAGGAACGACTTCAAAAATGTTTACTCTCTAATATTTGGCGCGGATATTGCAGTTTTTGGGTATATGGTTGGTAGGGACTCGAAAGATTATGTGTGATAAGAAGTCAGTTTAGATTGAGATTAGGTCGTTTGTAACACCATGATGAGCATCAGTGTTTGGTACTTACAAGGTTACTTATTTAAGAGGTAAATCTTTTTATTTCCTTAGGATCTGGATTCGAGCAAAGAACATTCTCGTGCGAGTTTTTTTAACAATAAATCAGTGATTGCGTACTAATTCTGAATTACCTTTGCTTCTATGTATTTATTGCATCAAAAGCTTACTTAGTCTACACTAACCTGAATAGTTTCGGTTGGGGTTTGAAATTTTCGTCAAATCCGTTTTGTGCTATTCGTTGTCATTTGATTCTCATACTAACGACTGACTTGTGTATGTTCATCTACATTTTCCTCTCATCTATTTATAATGGTTGACTATACTTATAGATGCAGACAACCAAATTGTTGCTTCCCTATGGCGGAATGAATGCAACTTGATGTGATGGTTTCACAACATGTGTACACATTTAAATCCCATCACATACAAAATTTACTAGAAGCGTAACTCACATTGGCTTTGAATGTTTGGCGTTCAGGTAAAACATTACTGATCCAGAAGGTAATTATCATTCTGGAGTTAACCAGAGAGAAATTTGAGGGTCACGGCAGTGGTATAAAGAGTGCTAATTTGTCAGCGTAGCACGTGTTGTCATGGGACGAGCCAAATACATTGATGCAAAACATGGAAAAGAAAATCCCCATCGGAACAAACAGGAATTGAAATATCACTAGATATTAATGGCCATAATTCAAAAGTAATACTTGAAGAACCAGGTAAAACTGTCACCGTTGCAAGTAGTCCCAAAGTGGTTGTCCTAGATGACGGGAAGTGGACGATAGTTCAGAAACAAGGAAAAAGAAAAAGCTACAAATAGCGTTCGCCTGTTTGATGAGTCTCTGGCAGACTCTTATTCTGAATTACAAAGTGCACCATCAAAACCCTAAATTTAGACTAGACTTGACCCTAGCACGGCGTACTTATTCGTTATATGGTGCGGATGAATGACTGTAAGCCTTCAACCAGGTGAGTCCATTAAATTGAATGCAGTCAGTATCAAATATGGAAGACTTATAGATATTGATTTTGGGGATTTATATACCTCTACGTTTTGATTGAT